GCGAGGGCCGAGAGCGCGGCGATGCGGCACGTGTGGTGCGACGACCCTAGGTGGCGGGCGATGGCGTCCGCGTGTCTGTCGACGTCAAAGGCGCCGACGCACGCGATCGCGCTGGCGGTCAGCGGCTCGACCTCCACGACCGGCGGCTCCACGTCAAGTAACGGCCGCACGAGTGGCGTGAGCGCGTCGACGCAGACGGGCAGGGCCGAGAGCTTGCGAGCGAGGACGAGGCCGCGGCGGTGGGAAAGCGGCGGCCGGCCCGGGGCGAGCAGGTCCATGATGGCGCACAGGTGCATCGCGAGAACCTCCTTTTGCAGCTCGAGCGAGGAGGAGTAGGCGGCAGCGGCGGTGGACTCGTCGCCGCTTGCGAGCCGCTTGAAGATTTCGGGCGCGAGGGGGCACTGCTCCTGCAGCGCGAACAGTCTCTCGAGCGTCAGTGCCTCCACATCTGCTTTTTGCAGCGCGACGTCGAGCCTCGACACCGCGATGCGCTTGGCGAACGGCACCGCGTTGCGTAGCGCGGAAGAGCTGCCTCCGGCCAGCGCAATCGACCGCGCGTCGAGCAAACCGAGGCTTAGCTCAAGGATGGCGGTGGGCAGGTCGACCAGGCTGATGTGGGCTCGCCCACTGAGCGGGCTGAGCCGGGCTTGCTTCATGTGACCTGCTGACCGGTGCCCCCCTCTCGGTCCCGACCTGCTGACACGTCGAAGACTGTGAACGCACGGTGCCTCCCCGGCCCGCTCTCGATCTCTGCTTGCTGCGCCGTGCTATGGTCTCTCTCTCGATGCACGACGGCGCGGCGGCCACCGGAGCCGCCCGCGCGGGGACCGACGGCCGGCGCGGCGCCTGCTGGTGCGGGTGCCGCGCCCGCCGCTCGCCAGGCGATTGCCAACTTCGCGGTCCCTAACCCAACTACCCAACCGACGGCGTGAGATATATCTAGGGTGCTGACCTTTCTCGCCGAGGCTCGCCGTGGCCCCACACGGCTCACGGCCTCTGCTCGCGTGTTCGAGCCAGGACCTTCGTCCGGGCCCACGGCCGGCACGCCATCATCGATTCCGCGCGCTCGGCCTCCACCGGCTTGCTGTGCGGACGCCTTCTTGTGGCTCTCATCGAGAGCGTTTTGGCGGCCCGGCGGGTGGGAGAATCTGTGTCGTCTGTTGTGTCACTGTGTACGTCACATCGATGTGGATAACAAGCACGGTCGATCCGCCAAAAGCGATACACTCGTTCCTATCACGTTGGACGGCTTGCACGGAGCTCTGTGCCGGCACACAGGAAGAGCCGTCCGGCAAGAAGAGCTCGATAGGGAGCGAGAACCGTCAGAGGTGCTCACCCCTCGCCCCACCGCCGGCCGCCTTCTGCTAGGCTCCAGGAGGCTGCGCAGACACCAACACTTAGGACACTAGATACGCGCGGATGGCCGCCGTCTTCCACGCCAGCACCGGCCGGTGCTCGTCTAGAGCGCGGCGGCGAAGTTGGCAATCGCCTGGCGAGCGGCGGGCGCGGCACCCGCGCCGGTCGCCGCACCCGCACCAGCAGGCGCCGCGCTGGCCGTCCCCGTGCGGGCGGCTCCGGTGGCCGCCGCGCCGGCCGCCCCGCGGGCCACCGCACCGGCGAGGTCCTCAATGGGCATCGCCGTGCCGGCGTGTGCCCCTCCGGTGGGTGCCGCGCCCGCTCCGGTGGTCGCCTCGCCGGTGGTCGCCTCGAGCGGGTTGGCCGGCTGCGCCAGCGGCGCAATCTCGGGGGACTTGTAGTACATCCCGAACTCGGCGAAGAGGGAGTGCTCCTCCGGCTCGTCCGCGATGACGCCCCCGGGGCAGCCCTGGTAGGGCTCGTCGAGCACCTTGCGCGTGTCGCCGGAGAGCAGCTTGAAGTGCGCCGGCACAGAGTCGGTCGCGGGGCAGCGCTCGACGAACACCTCGCCACTTCTCCTCGGTGAGCTCGTTGCAGTCGAGCAGCGCGAAGATGGCGCCGGCCGGGGCGCCCTCCAGCACCGCCTTGGTCACCTGCGTCGCGTTCGCGTGCAAGGGGTGGGCGCGTGTGCGCACGCGGCGGGGCTGGGCGCGGTGGGGCTGGGCGCGGGTCCGGGCAAGCACCCTCGCCCTGCGACGCGGCGGTCTCGGCCCACGTCCCGGTGGTAGCTACGCGCGCGCTTGAAAGCCTTCGCGAGCATCTTCGCGCTGGACCGCCACCTGCGCGGCCTCCTGCTGGTCTGCCTTGCGCTTCTTCGCGGTCGCCCTCGCGCTGGACCGCCACCTGCGCGGCCTCCTGCTGGTCTGCCTTGCGCTTCTTCGCGGTCGCCTGTTCCGCCTCGCACTTCTCGACGCGCAGCTGCCGCTTGATCTGCGACACCAGGTGTCGTCCTGAGCAAGTGCGGGCGGCGCAAACTGTGCGCGAGTGGTCACATACCTCGATCTCCTTGCGCTGCTCGCTCTTCGCCTCCTCGCTCGCCACGATGCATGGCGTTCGAGTCTGAGCGACGGCTATGTTAATTGCGCGACATTGAGGCGCTCCGCAACCAGAAGGGTGTCGGCGAGTGGAGTGTGGAGCAGCTGCAGCAGCTCTGCGACACGGGCGCCTGTTCCTACATCATGGCGCTGCGGGCTCGGCGGCAGTAGAGGGAGGGGCCGAGGGACCATACCCCCCCACCCCTGTCGAGGGCTAGCCTTGGGCGGTCAGGACCATACCCCCCACCCTTTGGTCCGCGAAGTACCATACCACACCCCGGAAAAAAGTTGGAACACCGCGGACCGGTGACGCGGCAGAGTAGGACGGCACGCGCGAGCGACACACACACACACACAAGCTGCTAGGGAGCTCGAGCCGATCAGGCGATGGACTTTGCAGGCTCGGCCGCCTTTCCGCTGACAGGTGGCCTGCTCTGCGCGGCCGCGCTCGTCGGCGCGCTCGACGCGTTTGCGCCGCGTGTGAGCGGTGCGACTGGGCTGCCGCTCATCACCGTGCACCTCCTGGCCGGTGCCGCCGCCCGTGCCGTCGGATGGCTCACTCCTCCGGCGCTCGCCGTGCTCGCGCCGCTGCACACGGCGGCGCTCGGCGTCATCTCCATCGCCGCCGGCGCGGAGCTGGAGCCCTCGGCTGTGCGGCAGAGCGGCAGGGTGATTGGCCACCTCGCGGTCGCCAACTGCGCGTCGGCGCTCGCGTTCGTGTTTTGCTGCTCGTACGTCTTCATCGGCCCCTCCGCCTCCATCGGTCTGGCCGCCGGCGACCGGCTGGCGGCCGCGTCGCTGCTCTCCTCCGTCGTGGCCATCGCGCGGTCGCCATCGAGCGCCATCGCGCTCGTGGCAGAGCTTCGCGCCGACGGCCCGTTCACGCAGACGCTGCTGGGCGTGACCATGGTCACCGACTTGCTCGCGGTCGTCCTCTTTGCCATCTGTGCCGAGGCGGCACAGGAGGCGCTGGCGCCTCTGCGCGACGGCGAGGAGGCGGGCAGAGCGCCGCTCGCCCTCGCATGCGGCGTCGCGGTGCGGATGCTCGTGCAGGTGGCTCTCTCGGTGGCTCTCGGGCTAGCAGGCGCCGCCGCCTGCCTCGGCTGCCTCCGCCTGCCCCGCAGCTCTGCGGGCTGGCGGCTGGCGCGGACGTGCGCGTTGCTCGGGCTCGGAGGCGCCGCCTTCTGGGCGGAGCCGGCGGCGCGGCGCGTGTGGCTCGGCGGCGCAGAGGCAAACTCCGCCCTCGCCACCACCGCCCTCGCCACCACCGCCCTCGCCACCACCGCCCTCGCCGCCACCGCCCTCGCCACCACCGCCCTCGCCACCACCGCCCTCGCCACCACCGCCCTCGCCGCCACCGCCCTCGCCGCCACCGCCCTCGCCACCACCGCCCTCGCCACCACCGCCCTCGCCACCACCGCCCTCGCCACCACCGCCCTCGCCGCCACCGCCCTCGCCGCCACCGCCCTCGCCACCACCGCCCTCGCCACCACCGCCCTCGCCACCACCGCCCTCGCCGCCACCGCCCTCGCCGCCACCGCCCTCGCCACCACCTCGTGTGTGTGGAGAAGTCTACCGTGCCTCTGCCCGTTAGGCGGCGGGCGGGTCGCTGCCCTGGGTGGAGCCAATGCTGGCCTGCATGGTCGCCGGCGTCGCCGGCCGCAACGCGGACGCGCTGCGCGCGGCGGCAAAGTCTGGACTGACCCGGCGTTGCATCCCAGGCCTTAATGCGCGTCTCTCCACGGCGTGTAGCATGCCTCGTCCTTGTAGCAGGCGAGGACGCCGCCGCACCTCGCCCGCGGCACCACGCTGCACAGCAGTGGAGGGCTGGGAGGCGGACTCGGAGGGCGCCCGCGGCGAGAGAGAGAGGTGACCGGCCGCCGGCCGCGGCGGGAGCTCCGCTAGGTCTAGATGGCCGTGTCGTGGACGTGTCGTGGACGTGACCGCTCAGGCGGGCGGGAGGAGGGCGGGGCGCGCAGCTGGCGGCGCTGATTGACGGGGCCATGCCACGAGTCCTCCTCTTCTTCTTCACCACGACGGGCGCGGCTCGCAGCAGCCCCGCGTGGCCGCGCGACCTGCGTGGCCGCGCCGCCGAGACTGTCCGAGACTGTCCGAGGTGATCCGAGAGGATCCGAGATTAGGCGGCTCGATGGAGCTCGGAGTGCTGCGCCGCGCCTGGCCCGCCGCCACCGCCTTCTTCGCCGCCCGCCTCGGCGCGATCGCCGCAGGCACCGCCGCGGGAGCGGCGAGCTCGGGCGCGCCGCAGGTGGCGATGCTAAAATAGACTATCGGGCCCGGGGGGGGGGGGGGGGGGGGGCACGCACGCGCAGCACAACTCGGGCGAGGGGCTGCAGCACACTGCAGCACACTCAGGGCGAGGGGCTGCAGCACACTCCACGCCGTGAGGCTAGCACGCACACATGGCAAGGTGGCCGACGGACCACGACGACACGCCTGCCGCAGGCGATGCGCCGCTTTGGCTGGCTGGGCTTCGTCACGCAGGCGGGCGTCTCGCTCGGCCTGGTGGACGAGATTGGCGCGAGGTTCGAGTGGGCGGCGCCGCTGCAGTCTGCGCTCGCGGCGTCCATCGTCCTCAACCAGCTCGTGGGTGAGGCTTGGCCGAGATTGCAGCCGAGATACAGCCGAGATTGCAGCCGAGATACAGCCGAGATACAGCTCGTGGGTGAGGCTTGGCCGAGATTGCAGCCGAGATACAGCCGAGATTGCAGCCGAGATACAGCCGAGATACAGCTCGTGGGTGAGGCTTGGCCGAGATTGCAGCCGAGATACAGCCGAGATTGCAGCCGAGATACAGCCGAGATACAGCTCGTGGGTGAGGCTTGGCCGAGATTGCAGCCGAGATACAGCCGAGATTGCAGCCGAGATACAGCCGAGATACAGCTCGTGGGTGAGGCTTGGCCGAGATTGCAGCCGAGATACAGCCGAGATTGCAGCCGAGATACAGCCGAGATACAGCTCGTGGGTGAGGCGTGGCCGAGATTGCAGCCGAGATACAGCCGAGATTGCAGCCGAGATACAGCCGAGATACAGCTCGTGGGTGAGGCTTGGCCGAGATTGCAGCCGAGATACAGCCGAGATTGCAGCCGAGATACAGCCGAGATACAGCTCGTGGGTGAGGCGTGGCCGAGATTGCAGCCGAGATACAGCCGAGATTGCAGCCGAGATACAGCCGAGATACAGCTCGTGGGTGAGGCTTGGCCGAGATTGCAGCCGAGATACAGCCGAGATTGCAGCCGAGATACAGCCGAGATACAGCTCGTGGGTGAGGCTTGGCCGAGATTGCAGCCGAGATACAGCCGAGATTGCAGCCGAGATACAGCCGAGATACAGCTCGTGGGTGAGGCTTGGCCGAGATTGCAGCCGAGATACAGCCGAGATTGCAGCCGAGATACAGCCGAGATACAGCTCGTGGGTGAGGCTTGGCCGAGATTGCAGCCGAGATACAGCCGAGATTGCAGCCGAGATACAGCCGAGATACAGCTCGTGGGTGAGGCGTGGCCGAGACGCGCCCGAAATGCGCCCGAGACTGCCGCTCTGTTTGGGGCGCCTCCCCGCCACCATCCACACGCCTCTCGACGCCTCCCTCGCCCCTGGGGCCCCCTCCCCAGGTCCTCCGATGCTCAAGCTCGCCCTCCGCCGCTCGGGCGAGACGGACGCCCTCGCCGAGCGGGGCGAGCCGCTGCTAGGGCAGCGCTTGGCCGACACCGCGACGCCAGAGGTGGCCATGGCCGTGATGGCCTCCGCCGCTGCCGCCGCGTCGGAGATCGGCTCCAGCGTTGCGGAAGCGTACGGCGCGGCGCTGGACTCGTACGCGCCGCGGAGGGACTAAGAACGTATAGAGTACAATCGGTGGGGCAGTAGTTGCATCGCTTCTTCGTATTTTTCCACCTTTTCCGCCTCGGGGTCGCGGATTTTAGGTGGACCCCTTCACGCTGGCCGCCGTGCCCGTGGTAAGGTAAGGTAAGGGGTAAGGCTACTCTAAGGGGTAAACTTCTCCACACACACACACGAGGTGGTGGGGCAAGGGGGGGCAACCCTCGCGTCTCCACGTCTGACGACAGGAGCCCCACGGCATTCAAAGTGCAAGGCCCAGTGCGCGTGGGTGAGCGGTGTGTGTGTGTGTGTGTGTGTGTGTGTGTGTGTGTGTGTGTGTGTGTGTGTGTGTGTGTGTGTGTGTGTCACGTCACTGCATCCTCTGCCGGTTCCTCCCGTCGCCTCTTCTTTGTTCGAATGTTTTTCAATCCATCCTTCACGAAGCCCTCCCATGTAGCTAGCGTTCTTGGCGAATGTCTCGAAATGGCCAGCAGGCGCTGTCTGCTCGTGATCTGTGCGGGCCGCTCGTCCTCCTCGCCCTTCTTTCGTCCTCCCGTCCCTCCCCTCCACCATGGCCTTCTCGGCACTTCTTTCTCCATCCGCCTCGCCCTGCCTTTTCGTATCGTGCCGTTCGCCCTCCATTCGGTGACCTCCATGGCTGTCCGCCTCCTTTTGGGTGGCGCTCTCGATACGGTTGCGTGTGCACACGTTAAAAAATGCTTTCCGCAGAAAAACCGGGCACACCAATCTCCCTTCCTCTCTCGATCCCCCTTGGAGCTCTAGAATCACTCCCAATTCGCGGGTGATGGAAATCTCTAGTCTTTTTTAGAGATTGAGAGCTTAAAGATTTGAAAGACTCCACTCGGGTCTACACAGTGAACCTGGTTTGTGGAGCTCCCGCACCTTTCCTAGAGAGCACGGCATTCGGGGCCATGAGTGCCCCCCCTCTTGCGGACGTGACAAAGACTCTTCTTGCGCCTCGCGAGCTAACACCGCGCGCCAAGCGGCGCGCTCCCACGCGAGCTCGGAGAAGGAAGAACGCGCAGTGCCGACGACACCGTCCTTTGCGTAGGAGAGTAGCTCGAGGTCCTCCAAAGCGGACGCGCCGGCAAACGGCCCGTGCTCAGCCAAAGGTCCTCGCTCTCTGGCGTGCGAGCCAATGACCAGCGTGGGTGGTGAAAACGAGACATTCTCAAAGCGATGAGCGTGCCACTTTGTGAGCGCGTCGAAGAATGCTGATCGGTCGCTCGCGGCGACGATCGAACAAGTGGCGTTAATACAGCCGGCCCGAGCCATTGCCGCCTCCAGCCTGGCCGTGAAGCTGATTGCATCTGATCCATCATCGCGTTGGCTGCGATGGCGAGCGTGCACGCCGAGGACAACAGTGGACGCTGCAAGCGCTTGCAGCGCTCGAGACGCGGCAAACGGCATCCGCAGTTGGAACAGGCGCTCAAACAAGGCGCCGTAAGCCGGCGCCTCGCCGAAGCGCATCAGTCCCACGTAGCGCGCGCGCGCGGGTGGCGAGAGGGGGGCGTGCGCGAGCCAGCCGAGCACTCCGAATCGCTCCAGCACGCCGAATGATACCACAGGCTCTCTCAGGCGGTCCACTCCACACGTCCGCAGCTGCAGCCTTGTCAAGGAGTCGTTCCAGCGCTTGCCACCGCCACACACGTGTACGGCGCGAAGGGGCGTACGTGCGACTCCGGTCCAGGCCTCGAGCAGCCTCGAGGACGGCACCCACCCTCGCAGCTGCAAGACTGAGTCGCAGGCGGCTTGCTCCGTGTCAGTGGTGCAGGAGTGCGGGTTGCAGTAGTCCCAGAGCAGCGTGCGGCCCGAGACCACGGCGAGGGCAAAGGCGTTGAGCATCTCGTGCAATCGATTGCCGACCTGCGAAGATGGTGGTCCGAAGGGTGGTGGCGAAGGCGGGCGGTGGGCGGATAAAGTGAGAGGGCGGTCCTGGTGTGGGCATGAGTAGTATCCAAGCACGAAGCGCCGCGCCGTCCGCTCAGACGGTTGCACGCGCCGCAGAGCCGCAATGCCGTGCTCCGCCTGGTACTGATCGAGCAGCACCCCGACCGTGTTCGCATCCCACGCACGGCCGAGCGCCTTGGCTGCCATACAAGGTTCTCAAATTGCACATAGCAAGTTTGTAGCCCCACTCGTGTCTACCCTTATAAGTCTCTTGTTTTAGGTATGTTGTTGGCAAATCAAGACACAGAGCTCACACAGGATCACAGCGGGAGGAAAGCAGCGAGTCGCAATTCCAGGGGTCGTTGTGGCGGGCCACCCTGTCCAGAGAGGCATGGATGCCAATCTGGGGTCTCTCGACCGAGTCTATGAAGCCCTGGCCGCCTCCCGGTGGCGGCAGAGGTTATGGAACCAAGCGACGGAGATGGTGCGGGGGTACGGGTGTTCCAGGGGGTCACGACACGCACCGACCCTTCACGAACCGAAAGGCTGCACCCGGGGAAGGCACAGTAATCCGGGCACGTGTTGGGCGCCCCATTCCGTTTAGGGCTAGGTCGGCTCAGGGCCCCGTCCACTTCCCTCCCGCCTGGCGCGTGATGATGAGGAGATGCCACCCAGGCCAGCCAGGACAGGGGCGGGGGGCGAGGGCGGAGGGCGGGATGGGCGCCAAGCGGGAGGGAGCGGACGGGGTGGGGCGCA